ATACGATCTGGATTTTCGAAGAAAAACCTCAAAACGGATCAAATATACTGCTTTTTGTATGCTCATCTGCAACTCATTTAAAAAACCTCAAATGTGAAGATAACACATCCAGCCTGGAAGTTGGAATCCAGCAGACCGTAGACGAATAGAACTTCGGCATTTACACGCGATCGCCTACGGAGAAGAGCGGAAGTCATTGAGGTGCTGTAGGTCTCGGTGTTGGCATCCCCACCAGCCACAACGACAGATAAACCACAGCTTATCGCCGTAGCTTACCGTCACCTCCTCGCCCGGGAAGATGTCACGCGTCGTCACGGCGACGACAGTCAACTCTGACTCAGTCTGGACCTCATGGAAGCGAGCGCACGGATTGCAGGAGTGATTGAGTATTCTGAGCTTCCCTCCGCCGTGTTGGGCGTCGATGTCCACGTACTTGTTGCCCTTCGCACGCGTCTTTAGACGCAGCATGTAACCCTCGTTAGGAGGACCCACCAACTTGAGATGCCCGAGATACTCTCCAACTACCTCACCTGCAGGAATGGCTGCAAACGCAGTGATTCCTCTGATTCCAGAGCGAGTGTTGCGGCTGATCTGCAATACGGGGCTCTCCTTCAGAGAATTGCCGCAGTCTCCTCCGAAGGTACAGTTATGGGCATCGCAAAACCGACTACAGGACGCGTTCAGGCAACTCAAGGCCGTACAACGAGTATAACACCCGCAGCCCTCGCCGTTACGACGACCGGTACTCGCAGGAGGAAACTCGATGCCATCAGGGTTGCACTGGTTGGTCAGCACCATTACCTCCCTAGACCAGAACTCGCGTGTCCACTCACTACGCGCAGAGTCGAGTGACGTATCCCCGAGGAGAACGAAGCCTGGGGAGCTGGCTATCGACGCAGCAGAAGGCGACACTTGACTGAACCCGTGAGAGGTCTTGCGGGGCGGAGTGGAGATGTTGTCGATGTCGTTCGACTCGTAGCCGTCCGAGTGAAAACACTCGTCAAACCACTTATAAACCGGGCTCTTCCCAGTGTACCGGTAACGATGTGGTGCGATCTCCACAACTCGACGCGGGCGACGTGGAGACTCGTAGACAACAGATTGCGGAGCTTGGTCGGTAGCAGCTTCTAGAGATGGAGGTGGAACTACCGGCGACGGAGCTCCGTTCGACAGCGTGCCAGTACTGGAATTCGGACGCGTAGGCGAGGATAGGTCCCAGCTTCCAGTCTCCGTAGCTTGGCTCGAGAGAGCAGTGTCAGTCGAGTTATTTGGTTCCGAAAGCTGAAATTCTGACAGAGGTTGGCTGAGAATTGATGCGTGTGGAGACACTTGGGGGTGCGAGAACACCCGCCCGGATCCTCTGCCAAATCGCAGCCACGGCTGCGATTGTTCAGGCATTATATCGCTTGGCGTAGGCTCTCTACAGCAGGGCGAGCTGGTAGGAGTCGTACCCATCGCAGGGTCAGCAGCACTCTCTTCGACCAA